GCGTCGGGGCGGGGCGACGACGGCGAGGTGGCGGCAGGGAGACGCGCGGCGACGGGAGTGGAGCAGGAGAGATTGAAGTCGCGCTAAGTGCTTTATATATAGCAAAGGCTTTGGTCCCGGTTCGTGGCACTAACCGGGACCAATGCCCCCCTTTAGTCTCAGTTGGTGCCATCAACCGGGACCAAAAGCCTCTTTTCAGCAGCCCAAAGGGCGGGAAACGAAGACATTTGGTCTCGGTTGGTGGCCCCAACCGGGACTAAAGAGGGGCATTCGTCCTGGTTGATTCCACCAACCGGGACCAAAGAGCGGCATTGGTACCGGTTGATGCCACGAACCGGTACCAATGGACCCGTCTAACTATTTTTTTATTTTCTGCAGTTGTTTTTTTGTTAATTCTTCCTGCAGCTGTTTTTTTAGTCCCACCTCGCCAAGCGAGAGGCACTCGCAGCTGTTTATAAGTCCTGAGTGCAGAGACGATGACGAAGAGGCTCAATGCTCCTGCACGTTGGTTAGCTTCAAGCCTTGAGGAATACGGTAGACTGCACAGAGCTATGTGCAGTGCAGTTGACACCATTCCGAAAGGTTTAAAGCAAATTAAGAAGCATTGCGCCTCTTTATTATTTTTAATGACTTATTACAACTCAGAAATAAAAAGAAAAAAAATAAATATAGCAGAAAAGAAAAAAAACTATATAGAAAACTACTCAGAAATGAATTGAAGCAAAAAATAGTTGTGATTAATTGTACTAAAAAAGGAGCATAGATGCTTATTTTTAATGACTTATTACAACTCAGAAATAAAAAGAAGAAAAAATAGTTGTGATTAACTTTACTAAAATATGAGCATAGATGCTTATTTTTAATGACTTATTACAATTCAAAAATAAATAGAAAAAAAATAGTTATGATTAACTTTACTAAAAAATGAGCATATATGCTTATTTTTAATGACTTATTACAACTCAGAAATAAAAAGAAAAAAATAAATATAGCAGAAAAGAAAAAAAAACTATATAAAAAGCTACTCAGAAATGAGCATAGATGCGCTTATAGAGGAAATTCAAATTAAATTCATAACAAATTTCAAGAGAAATTCGTATGAATTTAGCCTAAATTCCCTATATAAGGGCATCTATTTTCATTTTCAGAGGAGCTCAATAAGGCAAAGAGGGAGGGGCTTATAAACCGGTCTGATTCCCCTTCGGTTGGCGAGGTGAGACTAAATTTTGGCCGCAACGAGGACCAACCCTTTAGTCCCGGTTGGTGGAATGGACCGGGACTGATGGTCGTCCTTTGGTCCCGGTTCAGGCCACCAACCGGGACCAATGGTGGTGGGCCAGGAGCGAGGGCCATTGGTCCCGGTTCGTCCCACCAACCGGGGCCAATAGGCCCAAACAAACCGGGACCAATGGCCCACGTGGCCCGGCCGGCCCTTGGGGCTCACGAACCGGGTCCAATGCCCCCATTGGTCCCGGTTCTTGATTGAACCGGGACTAATGGGATGGACCGGCCTGGACCATTGGCCCCTTTTCTACTAGTGTTATACTCAGCTCTACTTGCTTGCGTCGTTATTCACCACTTCTGATATACGCATGACTGGGAAAGCGTTCCATTCCAGTTTCTTGCTCTAAGCAAAAAGTAGGAATGAACCCTATTTACTACGAAAGGAACTATGACATTTTCACTCATTTTGGTTCCACAGCTAAATACAACCAATAACTGTTTGAGAATACACAGAATTCTAGTGAATGCAATCACCAACAAAAACTCCGACCGGCTTAATTCTAAGAACTCGCGGAATAGTCGTATATTTCTAAAAAAGAACCCACCACGACATGGATCCTCTTGTCAAATGGGAACAACTTGACGTCTCTGCAACTGCTGAAATCACCATCATCCAAAACACCACAAAATACTTATAGACGGATTTAGGTAGATTTCAAACAGTTTACATGAAAGATCATCCTACGAGATGGTAATTAATTTATGGTTGTTTGCTAGCCGGGCAACGAAAAAATGGAATTCTCTTGGTTCTGATGGTACGTACAATATACTTTATATTTGTTCGAAATGGATCGGAGAGTATGAAATAATAATTACGGATACAAGCACCATAGTAAACTAGCATTCTGACAGGGTAGTATATAAGAAAGCCAAGTGGACTACCGCACTGAATACTTGCACAAAATAGAACGTTAACATCTAGTATTATTCTCTACAAGTGCACCATGGGGACAATAAAATTCGCTCCGATACAGAGGAGGCTCCTGGATGCAAATATTCGCTCCATGCTAATTTACTATGCGTGTTTGATTTTTTCCAAAAATGTACAATACCTGAAATATATTTATGTATAAGCATTTAGACTGAAGTTCGACCGTTTTCATCTCAACCTAACTAGATCCATATATGACTTAAGTTGACGTTGGGCATTCAATTTTCTTTTTCAATGTAGTGCTCTCATCAACATGAAAAAAAAAGTCATGGGTATCTTTTGAGAAAAAAAAGATGTTGTTCCTTTTATTTCTCGAAAATCAGGTTTGACAATGACTTTGCCCAAAATGATACACCCTCCTTCCCGCAATATAAGAGCATTTTTTACACTGCACTAGTGTAAAAAATACTCTTACATTATGGGACCGAGGGAGTAGTTGGTAAAGCCTTTACAAATACATGTCTCTTTTTGTGGTTTTTAGTTGCCAGAATCGGAATATCACTTCGTGAAAGAAGTTATGTAATGTTATCTAAATAAGAAAACATAACTTGCAGCAACAAACAAGTTGTTTTCATTTAGTTGTTGAGAGATTTGTTCACTGCCTGCATTGCAACTATAAATTCTACTGATTTTTCTTTTTCATTCACGAATTTAAGATTGAATACTAATTTATTTAATGTGACATTGTATACAGATGTTGCTATCTATGTTATCACTTTTTTTTTATAATTTTAGTAAATTTTACTGATAGCATGCATCTTGGAGTACGTGCACTGAATGTTTCTGCGATCAAAAATAAGAAAAAAGCTATTTCACGGTGAAAGTAGATAGTTGATCATTCACTGCTTGCCATTATTTGACAACCATGTAATTAGTAATCAGCCCTTTTCCATCTAAAAATGTAGAATTTTCCGAATACAGATTAGAAACCAGTCCTGCAAATATGAACATATATTTTTGTTGAAGTTCAAATAGATATATTTAATTTATGCAAGTGATTTTAGTAAAAATGTGGCCTAAAAGCTTTATTTCAGGAACAATCTCAGTGCTAAAATTCTAAAATTTTAAAATTTTCTGAATATTGATTGGTATCCAAATTTAGTTAACTTTTTAGCTTTGGCAGAAAATATTAACATATATTTCGATTGAAGTACAAATAGAAATATCTTTTCCCGTCTTGTCCTAGGCAGCCCGCCATGTTCTTGCGCAATGTTTAATTTATCCTTTGGTCCGTCTTATTATCATCGCACCTCCATCGCAGAAGCCTGTTGTGGTAGGGAGGAGCAGTCAGGCCGGCAGAAGTCTGTTGTGGTAGGGAGGAGCAGTCAGGCCAAGGAAAAAGGTGAGGTTTATAGGATAGGAATTAGCTGTCAGAAACCCCACGATGAGTCTACTTTGCACAAATTTGCGGTGCCCTTGATATTTCTAAGTTCCCCATGCCACCTAATCTTATGCTTCCAAACTATAGAAACATACATCCTGGTATGTCTATCTGATTTCAATATCTCCTACGTGGTGGTATTTTGAAGACTAGAAAGTCGATGTAAGTTAGTTTGTTAACCAGGCCAAAGAAAATTGGTCTTTGAACTCCTTGTAGTACAAGGTACTTCATCCGTTCCTAAATATAAGTCTTTTTACAGATTTTAATATAAATTTTATACGGAATAAAATGAGTAAATCTATACCATATGTAATCCGTATTGAAATCTTCAAAAGGACTTATATTTAGAAACAAAGAGAGTATGAGGTGTATGTGAAAAGGGAGAAGGAAAATGGCACATTTTAAAGACCTGGGCAGCAGAGGTTAGCCGTTGTCCCCATTTATGATGCCAGCGGTACTATGTACATTTTGGTCGTGGCACATTCATTTGGTCCATGCTTGCACAGTGCTCTTGCCGATGATTTCAGGAGCTCGATCTGCCAACCAAAACAACGTGGGTGCGTCTAGAAACTTAGGGAAGAATCAAGGAGCTGGTAGCACTATTTGCTATCAGACTAGTCATAGCGAGAGTAATTCCAGTAGTAACATTGAGTCCAACTGAGCAAATTTGGTTATGTAGTAATGAGTTAATAAAGAGGGAGGTAGTTTGAGTAACTTAGAGGGTGCTTGGA